TTCTCTAATTTGAAAGTTTGCAAGTTAAGGTACTTTACAGTGGCTAGGTTCAAAAACTGGCAGATTTTGATGCTCTAAGTAGTCGTTTTTGAAACCAGGGTTTGCCTGGAAAGGTGATTTGAAATCGTTTAAACATTTAATTACACTCTCCTAAGTCTGTATTAGACCAACTATAAATTAGTATTTTGTTTCGCTTTGAATCTTTCTAGTTGGTAAAGAAGCGCCTGTATCCAGAACTGAACAAATTACGATAGCGCAAAGGTCCTTATGTCTGCCCTTTCTAGAAATTGTATTGATTACCTTACTAGTTCGAGATTGTTGCAATAGCTTATGACATGGTTTCAGGCTTATATAGTTATTATGGCCCACATACAATTACGCACACTATCGGCAACACTGTTCTGTAGCAGTGGGATTCCCAACTGAAGTCGAGTCCACACAATTTAATGTCATGTTGCTGATGAAGATCCGTTAAAATAGTAATAGATAATAGATATCAGATGGTCAGCTTCCCAGACAGCAAAACAAAGTCTTGAAGACGTCTTTTTTAGGACTGCATTACATCTGAACGTCCGAAGATCAAAAAAAGACGCCTAGAAGATGTTGTTTTGAAGATGTCCATAAGATGTCGTAAATTCATATCTTAGACAACTATTTATTACAACCAAGCCTGAAAGTGAATAATGATTTATGTATTGAAAAGGGATTCAAAAACGTCTTCAAGACATCTCATTGAAGAAGTCTTTAGAATGTCTTAGAGTCCTAAAGATAAAAGACATCTTTATGCAGACCTCTGGAAGTTGGGTTTAGTAACAATACCACGTCTTCAAGATGTCTTTGAAATGCCTTAAAGACGTAAACAAGACGTCTTGAATGTCGTTTGTGGACATCTTATGCCGGGTCCAGACCAAGCCGACAAAACAACGACAAGACAAAGACATGCATGTCTCGCGACAAATCCGATACATCTGCAACCCCGACGTGAGTCGGTAAAGATCAAAGAGTCACTGTTTTGTCTGTGTATTTTACGACAAGTTGTCGGCGCAATGTGAACGGATGTGCTGACAAAAGTAGGAGACCAGTGTCAATCAGTGGAAAATTGCTAACCTTTCTGTTACACTTATATCATTTCTGAAGTTAGTATGTCTTTTGGCAACTTCAGGACCAACAAGGCATATGAGATTCTCGAAAAATTCGGTGGGCATTATTGGAAAATCTCACCACTTAGTCCTCACGTAACTGAACTAACAATTTATTTATGGAATAACTTTTTCGCTTTTTTAGGTTTGGTCTCATCCAAAAACGTTTTCGTTTCATTTGTCCAACATTGGATGAAGATGAAAGAAAGATATAACAGCTAGCAATAAATTTTCATTTTTTGAATTTCCTTTCTGGAAACGCCACAGGGTTAAGCAACTGATTCACTTCAAGCAACAACTAATTTTTATTGCACATTTCTGTCTTTCTGGTGTGGACGGTTTATCTTGTCTCAATACTCAAATTTTTGTCGCAGTTTCGCCGTGTTTTTGTCTCAAAATCGTGTTTACTTTTTGTCTGTTTGATCTGGACCCGGCATTAGGGACGTCTAGAAAAAATTCCCACAGAATTCGTTGCTCATTCAATTTAGAAGTTACTGGAAACCATTTAAAATGCTACAGAACACTCTAGAACTTTAAGTTCAGGTCAAAAGTTTCCCATGCGAGAGCTGAGTTTTGCGCTGGTAATTTTTCTTTTTGAACGCCCTAATTCTGGCCATTCTTCGTCTCTTTGTGGCAGATATAAGGCTTTACGCAGAATCGTGACGGTACATTGTACCTACGATTTCCTGCTGTGGTGGAATAAAGCTATGGCATGTTGACACAACCAAAGTTTATACAACTTCCTCAGGCCAAGCATAAGCAGCGTGACGTTCTGATGTAGATTGAATTGGTGACTTTAGTAGTACGGAAAGGTAGATCGCCTGCACTAAATGGGAAGGAGTAGAGCCCAATGACAATAAGCCTCCAAGGCTGCAGTGTAGATTATGGGCTCGAAACGGTGAAAAGAACCAACGAACGATAGTTTTCTTGGCTTAAGTACATTCACATTTCTTACAATTGCTATCTTCAATTCTAACAGCCTTTCCAACTACTCCATTCAAGTAAAATCGCTGGAGGTGCTTGTTTTGTAACACAAAACAAATTGAGATTTTTTCTTCAAACTGTTTCATCCAAAATTTGCAGATAATTATGTAGTATTTTGACAAGAACGCTAAGTCATTATAAAATACCTTATTACGACGTCGCAACAAGTAAATAATAAATATCCTTGACTTTGTTTCTAAAATAATTAAAATAAAATTTTAAAAGACACCGGCACGAAAGATATAATTACATAGAATGTATTTCACGAATCCAAGTAGCCGCAGCCGTGTCATTCCAAATAATACGAGATTTTGATTGACAGACTGATGATGAAAGTTGCAGCACGCTTGTTAATTTTATTTCTTTTTCACTTTTCCATCTGTTACTTTTTGAATTAATTGAATTAGTATAAACAAACCAAACAAAGAAAAGAAGTTAATTTATAGAGTCTAAATACGATAACAAGATAATTGCTTTCAGATTTTCAATTATTTGAGTAACGATAAAACCACGCCTCGCATATGTGTATTACAGTACAGTTAAGTTGCGTATATTCAAATACAAATAAGAAGAAAAAAAAATGAGACGCTGTGTGGCATTGCAATTATAAGCATTGACCTGTATCTGGGACGTTAAGGCTAGTCCGACCATCTTAATGACGACTCACGAACAATTTCATGGTGTAACTTTAACTGTTAGCTTAACCTAGAGTGTGTTTTTATAATTTAATATGTTTATTTACTTAAGCAGCCAAGACGTTTTCTAATTTCCGAATATGACCCACACGCCACACATGGAGATTATTGTTGAAATTATATAAAGTGAAAATCGACCTTTAGATAAAATCGAATTGCTTTGCATTTACACGAGGAGTTTGACTTTAACATGTAAAGTCAAGCATTGTTACCAATAAACATCGAGAATACTATAACAGTTTGTGATATTGTGAAAATTTTGTTGTTTGAAACTAATAATTGAACCGGGGCGAAACTGCATGATACCTCATGAAGCGAAAGCGTTACAGGCACATAGCTCATACCCAAGTTGAAATGAGCCATTTAATATTAATTATAGGTGCTCACATTTATTTTAAAATAAAATTTATTAGTTATACTATACTTTATCTACACTTTTCCCGGGGTGCGCGCAGACCTAGAGGTTAATGCAATGTAGAAAAAACAGTTTTGCTTATCTGCGCATCTGGTCAATAGGAACTTAATCTATTATTTTTTTTTTCAAATAGCTTACGTTCTGTTGGTCCGATTTAAATGTTCATTCTTTTTTCAGAAAGTACCTACCTACTTCGTCTGGTTTTTGCCTGTTATTTTCTGGACGTTTACCCAACTACACGTTGTTCTTTTTTCCTGCTGTACCTTCTCGTCCTTCTCTCATTGTCTTTTGACGTTTGCAATATTGAGTGTTGCACATAGCTGCTCTTTGTTTTTTTATCCTTCTCTCCCTTTCATGGATTTTATTTACATATTTTCTAGTATTTACGATTTCTTTTACCAAAATTTTCTGCTGCCTGAAAATCGTGAACAATATTTGCAAACTGTTTTGACCAGCTATCAGCAAAATGCGTGAGAACAAATAGCTTTCAGCCAATCGGAGAATTCATTACGCATACTTCCAGCTGTTCCTGACTCCTGTGAGAACAAACGTACCTACTATAAATCAGTCTCCTATAGGTTTGAACTACTTACAGATTTTCATAATGTACAGGGTGGGCCAATTTGGACACTTTCTTATGGAAACACCCTTTATTTTTAGAGATAGAAAAAAGTGAACCCCCCACTGTGAGGCTCAAATTTCATGAAATTTTGATTGGTGCAAACCGCATTTTGATATCTTCAACCGTTTAGCCGCTAGAGGGCGATTCTCGATTTTGAGCAATAATCTGAAACCTTCATAACTTTTTTATTTATGAAAATAATTGATTTCCGTAAAAACTTTCTAATAGCACTTTTTCAAGCAGAATTCAGTGACGCTCTCAGTTTTTTCCTATTAGGCCCCAATTTTAAGACATAGACCAAAGTCCGATTTTTTCCAATAGAACACTCTATATATTAATAGTTCATTAGAAAGCTCTACTTTTTCTGATTTCAATGATATAAAGTTCCATAGGTTTATCTCTAACAGTTTTCGAGAAAAAAAATTATTTCGGTTTTTGTCATAAGAAGCAATGTGTAAGAAAAGGAATTATTATCTATAAGGAAACTGAGAAAGGTCTCTTTCTAACACATTGTTTCTTATGACAAAAACAGAAATAATTTTTTTCTCGAAAACTGATAGAGATAAACCTATCGAACTTTATATCATTGAAATCAGAAAATGCAGAGCTTTTTAATGAGCTATTAATATATAGGGCGTCTTATTGAAATAAACCAGACTTTGGTCAATATCTCAAAGTTGGGACCAATTAGAAAAAAACTGAGAGCGTCACTGAATTCTGCTTGAAAAAGTGCTATTAGAAAGTTTTTACGGAAATCAATTATTTTCATAAATAAAAAAGTTATGAAAGTTCCAGATTATTGCTCAAAATCGAGAATCGCCCTCTAGCGGCTAAACGGTTGAAGATATCAAAATGCGGTTTGCACCAATCAAAATTTCATGGAATTTGAGCCTCAGGGTGGGGGGTTGATTTTTTTCTATCTCTAAAAATAAAGGGTGTTTCCATAAGAAAGTGTCCAAATTGGCCCACCCTGTACATTTTGAAAATCTGTAAGTAGTTCAAACCTCTAGGAGACTGATTTATAGTAGGTACGTTTGTTCTATGTATACCTACATCAGTCATGCAAACAACACAAGCAAACCATTGTCCATTAATATCAATGACATTTCATTAATATACATAGATACGTAATTTGTTAATTTCAGGGTCTGCTCTCCTCAAATTCAGTTTGCTGGTGGAACAACGCTCTAAACAACGCCACCAAAGGCCTCATTTACTATGGCTACGTGAACCCAGGAGCACTTTTAGTGGGCGCCGAACCTTGCGCCTTGGAAGTGCTCAGAAATGCTTGGGCCAGGAGAGTACTGCAACCGCCTCCAGGATACCAGATCGTAGCAATAGGTAACGCTAATTTGTTTAGATTGATTAACACTAAATAGTTATTTATGATATAAGTGCTAAAAGTGACATTTTATTTTGTGAAAAGGGGAGTTTGGAACACGACGCCGAAGGCGGAGTGTTCCATCCCTTTGAACAAAATAAAATCACTTTTAGCACGAATATCATACACTTTTTTTTCTACAAACGCACTAAAAGTGATTACTTTTAGCACTAGTGCTAAAAGTAATCACTTTTAGCACCAGTCTCATAAAATGGCATTTTAGACACTGACAGCATCCGTTAAAAATGACACTTTTAATGACGTTTGTAGAAAAAAGTAATTTATTATTCAAAACAAATAATTATCATTCAATAAGTCAATATCGATTAGGATTCTAATCTGGGCTAGAAAATTTGCATATTATCGATTATGCAAACTTTGTAACCGACTTGTTAATATAGAATGCTACAGTCGTGACATTCCTTATTATTTATTATAAATTATTTCCATTTGAAGAAGATGACATTTAAATATGACGCAATCTTTAATGATTGTTGAAGCTCTTCCTGTTAGTTATTACATTATAAATATCAATTAATAATTCATTTTCATTTCAGAGGATATTGAACAATGCAACGCTGCACCGGTGTCCCAAACTCAATGGACACCGTTACCTGAAGCCGTTTGTGCCGTAGTTTTAAGACTTTCTAGTCAAGGAAGACCCGCAGGAATCGAAACGATACGGGAAGCTTTAATTTTGGCATTTCCTCATGTCTCGCCGCCCAGCGAACAAACCTTATACGATACTCTGGTGCAATTGAGCAAAGAGAGGAAGCTTTATAATACTTCGAATGGATACTATATTGTTACTCCTGAGTAAGTAGATTTTCTAGTTTGTTTGGTGTTGCAACAATATAAAACGGTTATTGGTTTGAAAGCTACACTAATTACTGGAAGTGTGGTTTACTACACAGCTAACTAACTATAAACTATTAACTTCCAATTTGCGGGTAATTATTTGTCGTGTTTTTACCTTCCTTAAGGTTTCAAGGAGCTAGATACCCCCAGGGGAGTGAATTATATTCGTGATCTCCAGTCAAAGCTACTTACTTACCCCTAAACTATTTTTGCTCTTATGCAAAGTCGTCAGTTCATTCTAAAATGTTACAATCAACTCGAGTGACATCCCCTGTAATAAAGGAATTCATGGTCGGGATGTCACGAGCTGCCATTTTGGGATACGAGACAGGACCTGATTAGCAATAATTTAGATTTTTTCTTTCGGGTCACAGAGTCGTATTGGCTTTAAATATAAACTAATTTAATATTACTTACATATAATAATATTTATCCTTAGTAATTTATTATTATTTTTAAATATACAAGAATGATAACTAATAACACTATAAATGACAACACGAATATACTAAAATTACTTTCAAAATCATAACCAAAATTCCGCTCTACACCGCACGCCTATGACCTCCATCAGAAATTAACAAATAAATCAAAATGTCGGCGTCCCTGTCGTTTAATGACAGGATGGTATCCTCTAATAGCGGCGTGCGCAGTAAAGATGCGCGTGAGAGTTAGCCTGCTGATTGTTTTTGTATATGCTGTGATGTTACTGCGAATAGTGACAAGTAAACTTCATATACTTACACCTGTTATTGTCAGCAAAAGGGCCAGTCAATGGGGCTCTTTCACTAATTTTTGAAATTGGCATATTTGAATAAAGCAACTAAAAACAGAATTTTCTGTATTTTTACTTTTGAAAAATTCATAGTTCTTCTTGAGAAAACAGAAAAATAAGAAATACCTCCAAATAAAAACCCAGAATTTATTTCTATGACGTCGCAGCTCGCAATTTGACGGTGTTGCCACTAATTGTCAACATTGAAAATTTGTAATAGATTTAATTCCGAAATGTTGGAAAAATATCATGAAAAGTAGTTCAATTAATTAGTTATGGATTCAAGATCTTATAACATTTTTTTTGAAATTATGCTTAAACACAATTTAATACAATTTTTTATGTTTAGTTTTATTTATTTTTTTTACGTTGCACTACATTCAGTCACCGACAACAGCGCATTCGAACCTTTACCTGCTTTTACTACAGGGTAACACAGCCGAGGCGGTCAGCTCCTGGCGCGTTTTAAATCAATTTGAATTTCGCTAATTTCAAATGCCTGTAAAAAATGTATTAAACCTTGTAGAAAATTTTTTTTTGATATATGTATATGCCTAAAATAGTCCCTTCTTTGGGATTTTATACTTAAATTACGTATTTAAATTGTAGTGAAAGAGCCCATTATGCAAAGTGGACATTGGTCCTCCAAAACCAAAAGCCCGTAGATGTGCAAAGATTATCTTGATGGCTATATCTAACTGCTAATGTTTGAACCTCAGAAGCTGATGGAAATAATTGGTTTGAAGACAATCAGGCATATTATGATGTATCATTTTCCGTTATTTTGACCAAATGATCTTAGCAACCTTAAGATATCTCCCATTGTTTATTCTAAACGTCAAAATAGAGACAGATAAATACCTACATATAGATGTTTAGCTATAACAGCTCAACATATATTAACAAATAACAGGACAAGATACATCATTAGGCCTGAATGGAGGTACAAGCTGAAGTTTTGTCGGCGCACCTACTCAAAATTACGAAAACTCTATTTTCACTATTATAAGCACAAGAGAATAAACCAGGCTAAACTAAAATTCAATTTTACAATTTTGTAACCGTAACATTGGTGGAAAGACAATTTTATTTGGAAGAAAAAACCAGTACGTTATCAACTTGTCAGTGTCAATAAAGAACCATCAGAATCATCACAACAGATGGTGTGTGTGAGCCACAAATGCTAGTTATATACCGAGTTATGGGTGTCAATTTGGAAACTTTCAATGCGAATATCTCTGAAAATAAAAAAGTTAGAAAAACATAATTTGGCACAAATGTTATACAGGTAGGGGGAACCACCATATTTTTGATATGGGGTGAGTGAACCCTTGGACCCCACGCACCCCAACCTCCAAATTTTTAATGGCACCACTTCTTTTGTGATGCCTAAAATTAAATATTTTTGAGTATAGTATTCACCTGCACAAGAATTTTTTCAAAAAATATTTAATTTAAGGTATCACAAAAGGGGTAATGCCACTTAAAATATTGGGGTTGGGGTGCGTGGTGTCCAAGAGGTTATTATAACCAAAAAATATGGTAGTTTTACTTCCCCCTACCTGTATACAATTTGTCCCAAATTACGTTTTTCTAAGTTTCTTACTTTCAGAAATATTCCCATTGAAATTTTTCAAATTGAGACAGTGTATATTAGATATAGGTACCTAATTGATCTTAATTTCGAAATGCTGTTAAAAACAGATTAGAACCCTTACTTCAAAGGCGCAGATATTGCGCTAACTATTTCATGCTGGCTTAATAGATTATCTGAAAGTTTTTGACGGAGTCCAACACAAAAATGTAGGTATCACAAATTAATATAAATACCAGGACTATATGATGAAGGCATCAGAACCATAACAATCTTGTTCTCGAGAACAGTCAGACAGGGATAGGTTTTATGGCCAAAACAGGTTCCAATAGAAGCACTCAATGAGTTAAACGTTGGAATCGTCGTCAACGGAGGAATATTGAATAATTTCCGGCACACTGATGATACGATGGGTGTCTTGTCTGCCGTTGAAAACAACTATCCGTTGCCTCATCTAACCTAACCTTTTTTTACGTGGGGCCTCTGGCCCATCCTGACAACCAGACTTAATCAAAAATATTGCCAGAAAAAATATTTCCAGAAATAGTAAATCAGTAAAAATCAGTAATAACAGTCTCCCACCTTGAGAAACAGTTTTAACAATGCCTAAAACTTTTCTCATTTCATCAAAAATAATTAGGTACTAATTCTAATCACAAAATCGTCTTGCTAAATTTATAATACCCTCTCTAAGAGTAACATTTTTAGGGACTTTTTCGAATTGGGATTCTATCTTCTCTCGCGCACTACCCTTTTCACCGTGTGTTTCACTTCCATTAGTTGATCATGATCATAGCATGATATATCAGTCTCTCTACAGTAGATCGATCAGGCACTTCATGGTACTCAACTCCATCTTCCACCAGATTGGTATTTTCTTTCTCGCATTCCAATGGGAACAGTCGTTGTACCGGCCGTAGCAGTTCTCCACGAGCCATCTTCACACGAACCAAACGAATTTGTCAATATTGCCCTAATAAGGGCCGATTTCTCAATAGCAAGTCAACTCCGAGATAGTTTTTACTCCAGGGTAAGCGTGTGCAGTTGCTATGTTTACCCTGGAGTTATAATTATGTATGTATGTATGTATGTATGTATGTGTTGGAGATGTCAGTTGCACTGCGATCAAGGTTGATCTATTGTACCCCTCCTTCTGCTGCTAAGTTTGGGTTTCCTGCTTAAAGCAGCCCCTCTAGTCCTAGGTCCTTTAAAAATTTTAGGATGTCTAGCGGTTCCAGGGCTGGGATGTCTTCCAGTTGTAGAAGGGGACTTCCCAAGTTCTTTATTCTTGAGCGGCTTACGGCATCGCAGTTCAGTAGAAGATGGTGAGGTGTTTCTTCACCGTCTTCACAGAATCTGCCAGTGTTACCTTCTTCCAACCCCAGATTATGTAGGTGCTTATTCACAGTGGCGTAGCCAGTAGGGGGGCAGGGGGTGTTTCAAAGTTTCTCGTAAAGTATGTATATATCGCATACGTTGTTAGACAAACTTCTTCTCGACTTCGTCACAATCGGGCATTCCCACGTCAGCCTGTTAACGCAAAAAACTAGCTGGGGTAAGGGGAGAACATTCTTCTGGGTCACTCGAAAGATAAGTCATTGGTCGATTCGCAATCACATATTAAAGTCATTAACTCTTCATAGTCCAAGGACGTCCTTCCAAGAACTCTTCTTAGCAATTGCTTTTCCATGCCAATCAATCGTTCAAAAAAACCTGCTCACCACGACTCACTAGGGGGATTGAAACGCCCCAAAATTCGCTGGATTGTCGTTTCACGAGTAATTTTATTCTAGTCCAGAGTGACGAACCTGTTATCAGAACCTCTAAAATTAGTTCCGTTATCACTGTAGAGGATTTTCTGGATTTAGCGTGGGTAATAGGACTTGGCACAAAGATAACTCAATTTTCACTTGGTAATAATTCGTACATAAGTTAGTACTTATTCAAACCTCGTAAAAGTACTAATATATGTACGAAACGTTACCAAGTGAAAATTGAGTTTTCTTTGTGTCAAGTTCTATAACCCACGTTAAATCCAGAAAGTTATTTATCAGACATAAAATCAACATAAATACCCACTGTAGAGGATCTTGGGTCTTCCATTCCTCGCAACAAATCTACGCAAAACTTGCAAAAATGCCAGACAATGATGTGATGTAACTAGTTCTAGCTAGATGAATGGCACGATATACTGCACACGTGAACAGGCAAATCCAAGCCATTTCTCCATTTTTCAAAAACATTGGGCCAACGAAGTCTAGGCCTGTTATCTTAGAAGGCGCCGAATAACATACCCTATCTTCTGGTATAGGTAGTGATTTCACTGAGAACGGTTGCGCTGTTAATCTCCGGCAAATTCCACATTTTCGGAGAACCGATCTAATTGCTCGCCTTTCTCCCAAGAGCGAGTACTTTTCTCGTAATAGACATAATAATCCCTGGGTGGTCACATGGGACCACTTCTTATGCACATTTAATATCAAAATTTCAATGACAGAATGTTTCGGCGGAGGCAAAAGGATTGGGAAGCGATAATTATTTATGTCTGGTCTATTGGAAACTCTTGACTTCAGTCTTATCATCTGTTGATCATCATGAAATGGGTTGAAGCTTCTGATTTTATCATCATCGAGGGTCGAAAAGCTTTCCTTTTGAATAATTCTAAAAATGAATTGCTCTGAATTGTTCAATTCGTCCACTGACAATTCACCACCTCATCGACAACTGGGAGTTCTGCAATTATACACAAACGATGTAAATATGCCATCATTCTTATTGTTTTGTCAAATTTACTGAAGTACGCAATGTGCCAATCAATGTCCCTTTCTGAATTTGCTAAGCCACTACCCTTTTCCTTTCCTTTTCCTTAATAACAGAGCCGTAACTAGACCTGTTTGCGCTTGTGGCAGTTTATAATTTGCGCCCCCGCCCCATATTCCAAGTTACACAAATGCCGATTTTTAAAATTTTATATTTAAACAAGAAAAGTAACTCATGATTGAAAGTAAATGGAATCAATTTCTCGATTGGAAGTACAACTACATTTAAAATTTTTTTCCTGTCCCACAGTGGAACTAGAATATAACATTGTCCATTGACTATATTGTCAGGGGACCCGTTTGGGCTTCACTATGTAGCTCTTGTGACTCTGAAAAAGTTGAGTAGGAAGGGGAGAACTGCTATCTAAAAGTATATTTTGCGTAGACAAATGTGTATTACCACAACAACGACATGTAGATTAGTTCTTTCGGTTTGTAGTCCCTATACTGATCCCCAGACGGAGTGAAGACGTTGAATCTGACACCCTTGACCCTTACTCACTGTAGTCCCCTGAACACAGATTATATCTTATGTGATTCCACTTAAAAGAAGGAATCAGTTTTCTAATTTCAGCCACTCGATTCAAAACGAAAATACCCCATTCTTCATTGCGCTGAATCCTTTGTATAACTGTTGGAGAGTCACTCCAGAAAAACCAATCATAAGTCTTTGTCAGATTTAATGGTTGCAACCATAAGCTCCGAGCATGGAATTATCAGCTTTCGAAAAGGAAGAACCCTTGATTTAGCATCCAATAAGTAGACATAAACCTGGTCATCATTTAAGGCTACTCTGGAAAATACCACCACAGCATAAGCATCCATCGAAGCATCAACAAAGGTGTGGTTACTTATGTTTTTAACTTTCGGGGCTTCACATCTGCACCAACGAGGAATTTGAATCTTAAGGAGCATAGCTCTGCACACTCGAGACACAATTGTCTACATAGAAACTTCTTCAGAGTTTTTCCATAGTACCTATCTTTAGTATAAGCGCATCCTGGCAATGAACAATTTTCCAAACTTTTAGATAGACGATATTCGATGGTCGCTCCAAGTAAGAAAGGGCTGCAATTGACTCTGAAAACAACTCGGTTATGTCTTTAAACAATTTCTAGTTTCTGTTCATAGACCCACAAAAAATTAAAAAACTGTCTGTCCCTTGAGCTTACACTAATTTGTAAAAATGCCTTTTCAATTTCTGATATTACACCGATCTGAAATCCTGGAAATTTTATAAGCAATGCAGGAATAAACTCTATCAAGTTCGGCCCCTTTTCTAGGCAGTCGTTCAGAGACGAATTTTCTTTTTCATGCGTAGATGGATCAAAGACTGGACGCACTGCGGTTGTAGAACCTTCTTTAATACTGGCCGATGAGGCAGAAAATGTCCTTCTTCTGTGTCTTTCTGAATCCTTTCAATAATCCACATGGACTCCCATTCTTTGAGAACGTCATCATATCTTGAGACAAAATTGCCCCTTTCCAGTTTTTGTATTCTTGATTCAAGCCTTTTTTTCGCTACTAGATAATTGGTACCCAGCACAGGATGTCCATCTAACCAGGGTAGTGCCTCTTCATACCTGCCTTCACTGTTTACTGTTACAGTGCAAACAATCCTTTTGCTGACAAGGCCATAGAATTTTTTTCAGTAGGTTCCTGTATCCTTAAAACATCAAGCTGCCATAATTCTGTAATAGAAGGATTCGAGAAAAAAGACATTACAGTCATGGCATGAGATTTCTGTGTGGGAACTTTTCCTTCAATTGACCAACCAACTTGAGTTTCATAAGCTACAATAACACATTTTAGTACATGACGATTCTCTGAATAAACGGAACTTCAATAGGACCCTGCCCATCATAATCAGAATTTTCTTTATTCAAACATTTCAATTCGTGCATCCAGGGCCCATAGAAAACTGATGATATTTCATTACAAATGTTTTTCTGGTCAAGGACCTCAAGGTTGAAACTGGAATCTTTTCCAAAAATGTTGATGTCATAACAATAGTGTTAACCATCCATCTCAGTGCCACCAAACAGACAATGAACAATTTTTCCTACTCGTTTGGGTTTCCAACCAAGCAATGTCGACTTTAAAATATAGTGTGATCCACTATCGATAAATGCTCGAACACTTTCTACCACACTTGGTCCTCGAACGTTGATTTTCAAGGTCTGTAGAAAAACATGTGTGCTGGTTTGATTCGTCAATGTTTGGTCCTTGTGCGTGGCTTTTTGGTTTCATTGCTAACTTCTCTTTGACCCGAAACTTGATCTGAAGGCTGCTTTTTCTCTGGTAAATTCTGACACATCAATGGCGCGTATGAATAACCACAAATTCCAGTTTTGAGCGACATTTTCTACAGTCTATTTTTTCCCAAGATAGATTTCGACATTGTCAACTTTGAAACATAAACAATGCCGCTTATTGGTTGCAAAATGCCATTTTTACGACATGCATTGTAAAACTGATTTCAACTTGCAGGGACACCTCATTTGGCAACCAATTAGGGCTTAGAGGTATTGTTTATGTTTTAAAGTTGACAATGTCGAAATCTATCGTGGGAAAAAATAGACCATAGATAGGTGGCCTTTTTTCAAACATCTGAAACATGCCCCTTTTTCATTGACTATCCTTTCTCTATCATTCAGCAGCATTTTCTGTGCTTTGAAACATGCTACACTTTCATGCGAGCCTGAACAAAAAATACATTTGGCTACATCAGTGTTAACAGGTCCTGCTGCTGTGACAGGAAAATTTCTTACTCGTGGTCCTTTTTGCCAACTTTGTGAGTGCTCAGAGGGGCCACCGATATTCTCAAGATTGGCTGCTAAATCAAAGCCCTCACTAGCCAAGTCTATTTTTTGTTCGTTTTCCACCTCACTACGTATAAAATTCATAAGATTCTGTAGCTTAACATCGAGGGGATGTGAATTGATACCGGAACTAAACAAAGATCTCTGAAAAATTCTTGAGAGTTTGTGCGGCAAATACGATACGTACTTATCAGACGTGATACCGAGGGTGCTCAAGAGCTCTCAGCTGGGTCTCAATTCTGTCATAGAGTTCTGAAGACTGAGAGTTCCAACTTTTGCTGGGACATACCATTGTTTAACTTTAGTATAGTTCTCCCACATATACCTCTATTTGTAAGTCCTCCCTTCCAAATCTTGCAAGCAGGCAGTCGATAATTCTTTGATAATTATCTCCCACTACAGGAAAACTTGCTGTTTTGGCGTGCTCTACTGCCTGGCATGAATCAAATATTCGATTTTGTCAGAGTCATCAATTTCATCGTCTGTATGAATTTTTTGAAATTGCGACCAAAAAGCTATATATTCACGAATAACGCCATCAAATGTTTTGAACTGGATGCGAGAAAGTAAAGATTTTCGCTTATTATTTGATGCTGGTGTGGCACCACCTGAGATTACACTGGCATTATCTTGAGCTTCATCTGGTGCAAGACATTTTTCAACTGCTAATTGCAATTTGACAAAGCGTTTATGATATGAATCAGCTGTGTCCATTTCAGTTAAAAGTTGCTCTTCTGCTATTGTATCATCTTCTAGTAGGTTGTTGTATACATCGCTCTCACAGTTGCGGAGGTCGTTGAACTTACTTTTAAGACATTCCCATAAAGTTTCAACTTCACTAGGTGGAATAAAGGATTGCTTCAACAGCTGGTCTACTTCGTTTGCTGATCTAGTAAAACTACAACGAAGCGCTTCCCTATGTTTCTTACCTACTTCAATATCGCCTGCATTTGCTATTTTTGTACAATTCTTCACTTTGTCCGTTTATTATTGACAATGTCCTGTCACGGTTGCCAAGATGTCTTGTCGGCATCCTGACAACCAAACTAAATCAAAAATATTTCCAGAAAGAGGTAAAATGAGTTATAACAACGGGATTCTCTCTACTATAGTTATTTGTGGCTTCAGAGAAGGAATAACGCCGAAACTCAGACCAAAGTCTTTTTCCAAGAAAGATCCAGGGACAATGACCCTGATTCCATTATGTATAGTAGGATTTTTCCTATTCCTCTTTCTATTCTAGGCTATATTGACAGTATCCATTTCTGTTTGAAATCGGTTAGAAAAAAATAGCTCGAATTAGCTTCTGATGATCAATTAATGACCGTTCACAAACCAGTAATTCACATGTCTAAACACTAAACAGACCTTTTTCCAATTTTGCCTAATATGTTCTATCAACAATTTCAGGAGGAAACGATCCAGAAGTCAGTCACGAACACGTGTAAGAAGAGAACAAGATAATGGCTATGAATATTCCTCGTCTCCGAATAAATCTATACTTATGTCAACTGAAGAAGCTATGGCTATGGTTCATGGAGACATTACTACTCTTAGAGATGGAAATGTCACTCATCAATGTATACAAACCAATTTAGCTGACGTTATATGTGGAGGTAAGAAGTTATTTAGAAAAGTCCGTTTGCAAAATACCGCTGAAATATAGGAGAAAATTCACTTTTACTTGATATAATAAAATAATTTAATCAAAATTAATATTCTAACTTTCAAGAAATTGCAGTTTTGCATTGTTCAAGTAGTGAACATTTTGTAAATTCGAAAAAATCGTTCACAGTTTTCGAAGAGACAAAAAGAGATAAAAACTCATTACTTTGATTTCAAATTTTCTTCTCATTGTGTAAATTGTTTTGTTTTCATTATCTAGGAAACGCCAGTGACAAAATCCTTTATCCAAGAACCAAAAGAAGGTCCTCATCGTTTCCAGCTCAAAGAAGTCCTGATCGAAGAGGTTCGTTTAGATTGTGGAGTTCGAATAGACGACTAAGACGTTCGGCTTCCACGAGAACTATCCATAAACATTACGCGGATACTAGTAGTAGCACGGAATATCCGAACAGTGGGGATTCTACGCCAACTCCAAGTGAGTTTAGCAATGAAAACTATAACAATAATTAAATTTGATTTTTTTTAGAAAAAGAATCTCTCCTTTCCCGGATATTCCGTAGATCCAAACGTTCTCAATGTCAAATAGGAACTTTTGGTGCCCAGTTTCCTCCTTCTGAGTGGTTCAACTCAAAAACCGTCCATTTGCATAGTATTGGAACCCAAACTTCCTCTGAAAAGGTCCAGTTATCTACTAAAACTAATTATATATTTCCAATAAACTATTATTTATTATTTTAGGATTCCGGCATTGATATTTCAGCTTACCTAGAAAGTTGCGATATAAGTTCCAAATCGGCAACGTTGCCACGTCACCATCACCATCACAGACGTCAACTATCCAGTGACGTCACTCTACCCACAACATCACTAAGTGCTTCCAGAGAAAACTCTCCTATATCCAGATTTAGCACGCTGCCAAGAAAACGTAGAGAGATTTCCAGAAAAACTAGTAGGTCTAGCCTGGGAAAAACTGAAGTAAAAGTTGAGGATGCCAATAAGAAGCCTAATAATGAAGAAACTACAGGCACAAATTCTCCAGTCAAGCATTTGTTGAGTATCGATAATAGTGGGCCAAGTAGTATAGAATCTCACAAGAGTTCATTGACTAGTGGACCATCGAGTTTGGAGAGCCACAAAACGGTTATTCAAAAAAATTCCCCAAAAATCAAAAAGGAAATTTCCAAAACGAAAATTTCAGCTAAAACCAATGACATTCCAAATAGTAATTCGTTCACTTTGGAAGTTACTACCAATCAAAATGGTAGTGGAGACAGTAGCAATGTTGCTACTGCTACAATAAATGCTAAAACGAAAATTTTTGTGCAAAATTCCCCTGTAAGGTCAGTGATTACTTTTGAAAATGGTAATAGTAATAATAATGGGGGAAATGTTGTGGTGATTAATGGAGATAAGTTAGAGGAGAATGATAGCAAAAAAGCCAAGGATGAAAATTTAGAAACGATGAACAATAGTAGAAAACTATCCCTGCAATCACCACAAAAAGACAATTTCAATTTCCAAAATTTAATCAAAAACCTCTCATCGAGCACTCACAATCAATACATTTCAAGCTCCAACCCAGATTCTCCTATTGCCAATAATTCCTTGAGGGATTTTTCCAAAAACTCTGGTAGCAATCCGCCTAGTCCAACTAAAACTAGTCACGAATTGTTAGGGAATTTTTTCAAAAACGATAATAAAGTCGTAGAGAAAAATTTGATAGGCTCTGAACCGAATTTGGTGTTTTCTAGGGAAAATACCAAACAGCCCAGCTTGAGCGATTTGTCATTTAATTTCACCAGTTTAGCGGCGCAAAAAATCCTCAAAGGGGTCAGTATTAATAGCCTAGATACTCTGGTTGAATTGAATATGGCCAATAATATTGAAAAGCAGAAAAATAATTGTGCGGAAGTTGTTCACACGGATTTTGGATTGTTTTAGGAAAAAAATAATTTTTTTTATGCATCTTATGTCAACTTTCCTTTAGGGAAAGTTTGCTTTTAGGGTGTCGTTTTAATAACAATTTTTAACACCTTTTTCTGAGAATCATTGTTTGTAATATTTTTGTATATTTATTATAATTACTTATATATGTATATTATGAAAAAAAAAATAGCCATTGTGTACAGATTAACAGATACTTATATAAATATTTAAAACAGCAAAATTTTGTATCATTATTTTCAACTGGAACTTGGAGGCCTTGGAGCGTACTTTTTTGAAATTTCTGGCTTTGTTCGTGTTAAAACTTGTAGTCATCATGGGGTTATCAATTTTCTAACCAAACGTCTTCCAAATTAGACTATCCAAAACACGTGATTTTGACAAGCAAAATATGGCCGACAAGAGGCACACAAACATTGACACAAACACAAACCATAACGTCATTATGTTATGTCATTAATAATCATAATTCAATACTTATTTTCTATTGTGTGCGTCCCAATTTTTGCCAGTTTCTACCCAATTACGGAATCCTTATTGTTTGGGCAAGGTTGCTCTACCTGCATTTCACTTGGACACGCAGGATCTTTGATCCTTGATGTGAAAATATTTATTTATTTTAACTCCACCGTACAGTGTTGTGTTTTGATTTGTATTGTTTTTTTCACTTAAAATTTGAAAAAATTTAAGAATGTGCCGATCTCCACAACTTCCACATTTAATGCTATAACACGTTGTAGGCATGTTTTTCGCGTTTTTGAGAACTATTTACTACTATTTACATACACTATTCGAATACACTATTTCTAAAATTAATGAAAATAACAGTTTTAAGTATCCAGAACGCAAATAATTCACAATGAGCCCTATTTTAAGCTCATACATTATTTGTTGACAAATTTGATGACACATAAAAAAAGGGTTTGTGTGCCTCTTGGCGGCCATTTTAATTCAAGTTTGACAGCATCTTGGATAGTCTAATTGTTAGGAAACATCAGTACCAGGACATACCTGAAAGTACGTTTACCAGCAAGTCAAGTATGAGTTCTGTCATTGTATTTTACTGTTTAATTTAATAAAATCTTCTCAAAAACAAATATTGTTGTATTTAATCCGAACTACAACAATTTGGCGCAGTCGGTAGGATAATGAACATGGATTATATGACAGAAGTTCTCACAACTTTCCTAAAGAATTAATAACAATTTCTAATCAAAAGTCAGCAAGATTTTTTGGGTCAGTTTTCATCAAATTTCCAAAATTTAACTCAAAATCAAGCTAAATCAAATGTCCTGGAAGGAAACCCTGGGTGATAGTATCTCAGAATTTCATTATGACGAGGAAACAGAGGGAGCACTTTTGATGTATGGTACAAAAGATATCAAAGTCTTTTCACAGAAGATGCCAAAAATATTTCAGACTCCGCAGAAGTAAGACTTCTTCTAAGAAAATTAGACTCACAGATCCACGAAAGGTATGTGAATTTAATTATACCTTAGGAAATCAAAGATTCAGCCTTTAGTGAAACTGTAAATAAACTAACCCAGTTGTTTGGTAAAAAAACTACAATTTTTCACACAAGATACCAATGTATGAAATTGAATAAAAATGAATGGGAAGATTTTATAGCATTTACTTCACGTGTTAACATAATGTGTGAAGAATCCAAGATAAATCAAATCACAGCAGACGAATTTAAATGTTTAATTCTTACTTAGTGCTTACAATCGAGTAAAGATAGTGAAATACGAACCAGAATTTTGAACACATTAGATTCTAATAACAATGATCAACATACATTTATTAGAAACTTTAATTTCTGAATATCAGAGGATTGAAAATATAAAAAAGGAGGCCCAAATGATTGAAGATCCGTCTCTCAATATAAATGCCATTTCGAACAGAAATAAACATTTACCAAATTCAGGTTTCCAGCAAAATTTTAAGTTCAAGCCCAACAATAAACCGTTTTGACATTAGAAATATGCAAATGATTTCCAGGATGGTAATGCAGTTCCAAACAACCCTTGCTGGTATTGCGGCGAACCACATTTTGTAAAATTGTGTTCATTTAAAGAACACTCATGTCAAAGATGCCATAAAGTAGATCATAATACCATTTAAAAATATATTATGCTCAGAAATTAATAAAAAAATCATGAATAGATGGTAATGATCCAGCTCGTCTTATATTGTTCGTCTTTGAAACGAACATATACGTCTTTTATAAGACGTACGCAATATAGAGTTTCACGTACGTTCTTGGTACCTACTTTTTTGTCTGTATATTAATGCAGCCTTTTACGTACGTACTCAAAACGTAGTTTTACATCCCCGACGAACCGAAGGAAAACGGACCTAAAATGTACGTCTTCAGTACGTACTGTGTTTGTTGGGAAAGAAGGGTTTTGCGATTTCAGGAACCAAAATAAAGGTTTTAAAACAAATTATAATACGAAAAATGCAAGATCAAATGCCATTTATGATGTTGATCATATTGGGTCAACTTCTGAAAGAAAATTTATTCAAGTCAAAATCAATAATATTCGCATCAGGTTACAAATTGATACAGCTTCAGAATTTCAATGTACAATAAGCTTCAAACAAAATAGTTTTCAGGATAAATGTTTTCTCACTTAAATACCTAGTCTCAATTTACTGGGTATAGATTGAATCACAAAATTTGGTTTATGGAACGTACCATTCAATTCAGTCTGCAATGTTGTTAAATCAAAACAATTTTCAATCAATACAGAATTATTAAAATTAGCCTTTCCTAAGGTTTTTCAAGAAACATCAGGTCACTGTAAAAAAACCAAAGTTAATGTTCATATGTATGAAAGAAGATGCAGTTCCTATTTTCAAAGCAAAAAGACCAGTAGCTTATTCAGTCATGGATAAAGTTGACCAAGAACTTCAAAGGTTTCAAGAAAAAAATATCATATTATTAGTTGAATATTCTGATTGGGCAGCTCCAATTGTAGTTACATAGGAACCAAACGGAGATGTCAGATTATATGGCGATTACTCTACTGGTCTCAATGAAGCACTTCTACCACATCATTACCCTCTTCCAACAGTCAAAGAATTTTTTTCAAAATTACAAAATGCTACAATTTTTGGTATTACTGACTTTTCTGATGCTTTCCTTCAAATTGAAATCAGTTAGAAATCAAGAAAATATTTAATAATTAACACTCATCATGGATTGTTTCAATACAATAGAATACCATTTGGTATAAAAGTTATCCCAGCCGTTTTTCAACAAGTTAGGGATACCATGCTATCAGGACTGAAAGGAGCCACGGCATTTTTCGATGACATTTTGTCCTAAGGCGTATAGAAGAGTTTGATTTTCACTTAAAATTATAAAAATGTAAATTTGGAGTCAAAGAAATTAAGTACTTGGGATATATTTTAAGTGAAGGTGAGTTGAAACCAGTAGTGTTGCCAACTTTCGAAAATCAAATTTCCCACAAGCGAGTCCAAAACTTCCCTTTTTGAAAAAAAAATTCCCACGAATGCACAAAATACTGACAAAACGTAATAATGCAAATCTTTAGTAGATAGATTAGATTTTGAAAGAAATTTTATGTGAATTAGGTTGCAACATATCAAATAATAACAAGTCATTCGTTGGAGTTTTCATTTGTACCGCCTGCTAGACTCTAGAACTAAGCTGGAATCGGGTTCAAACTTTTTTGGTTCAAGATCACAGTCACTCTGTGTTGCTCCTGCTGTCACAGGGCGAGACACAGAATAAGCTCGCGAACGTCAACGTGGAAACGCATACATTCGTAAAATCATTTTTGAGCGCATCCGAAACTTGCACAGTTCGCGATCGCTCTACGTTCGGACCGCGAATGTCTTGCGTCCTTATATGAGCTAATTGTTAAAAAATATCCCACGAATATCGCAATTTTGGTGAAAATTTCCCTTTTCTTTTTAGTGCTACTAATTTCCCATGAATCGGGAAATTTCCCACGAGTTGGCATCACTGAAACCAGATCCAGCAAAAGCTGAAGCTATCAGAAATATATATGCCACTGCCCCATGATATCAACACTACGTTCCTATCTTGGAGCAATAAGGCTGTTATGGTAAATTTATCAAAGAAATACACGTGTTACGTCAACCACTAAACGAATTAATAAAAAAAGGGATCAAATTTTTATGGACAACAAAATGTCAAGATTCGTTTAAAAATTTTGAAAAAATTTAGAGTCGTATCTGATTCTAAACAACTACAACCCAGTTCACGAAATGTAATATCTTGGGGTAAGGCCAAATGAGGAGTACACGATTTTTTTGTGCTGTAGGTATTATACTTCTTTCTTACACATTCGATTCGGATACAGTTACAGTTACATACACTTAGGTTTATTAGAAATATGGAGCCGGCCACATGAGAACTACCCGCTCGCTCTAGATTAGATGGAAGTTAAGTAAGAAGTAAGTAAGAGAGCGCGGGCGTGTGTACGCCCGCTATTTATATGCGGCCCTTGCCGAGGCAATGTTGCCGTATTGTCACACTCCCCCACTCCTACATTTTTGTACAACCCCTACAAAAAGAGTTTTACTCTAAGAAGGTTAATGGGTTAATATCTATTTAGTTTTAGGGTTAATGCTTCCTCGGGAGTGGAGTATTGCTGGCGCCCACATTATGTAATGCGGGCCATTACGCAAACCTTTACTCGTCAAAAGGCTGCCTCTCAGCGAAAACAAGCCTTTAGCTCCTGGCGCTCATTGAAATGACTTCTGTATTCTGTAATGCACCCTTGAGCGTTCTGGAGCGTTGAGCCTGCCCTCACCTTGAGATGCATTTTTAAATTTGAACAGAGCTCGAAAAAAAAAAGAAAACATACATTATATTATACAACATAAAAGGAACAAAACTTACGCATACAAAATATAAGATTCGTGTAGAAGACACAATTTGTGTGTGCTTATCAAATAAACCAAATATACCGGGTGGGGTACGAAAAACTTTCCACCCAGGTTTTCTCAGGTGTTAGGTGTTTAATCAAAAATCGCTCAGATACGTCAATTTTTGTTTTTTGGGGGACACATTTTATTGGTATTTTCACCCCCTACCTGTGAACCCCTAAGTGGGGGTGACAGGTACCCACAAAATTTCAAATAAAAAGGGGGGTCGAATGATACGTCATTTGATAGCTATTTTCATTCTGATTATATTCCCGAAGTTTCAAGTTGCTACTATTTACCCTGTCGAAATGGCGGCTTGTCAAAGTTGGGAAAAATCAATGGAAAAATGCTGTGTGGTTTTCACCTGTTACCTACGTATAGGTGTGACAGCTAAAAACTATACAGCTTAGATTATCAGTAGTAATATAACAAGTGCAATGAAAATTATCGATAATTTTTGGGAAATTTGCCCGAATGCATTTTTAGTGCACGAGTGCCTTTTTCAGTTAAAAACGCATGAGTGCAAATTTTTCAAAAATTATAGACGTGGCTGAAGTTAGCTTCATATTCATATTCAGATTCGTGTATATTACAGTCGACCAGATAATTATTGAAAAGAAAAATTAAAAAACCGCGAAATTGAATCAAATAGAATTATTATATTATGTAGGCGATTTCTGGGATTCGGAAAAGGTAGAAATAACCCTCAGGCACCTCCAGTTAAGTTAGGTCTGGAAAAGTCACTACGGGGAAAAAACGATAATTTGTTTGACAATTTGTGGAGAATTAATGATGCCTTGTGGGTATTTTTTGGAATTTGAGAATGATGGAGTAGAACCTTAAGCACAGTTCAGAAGAGTTTTTGCATTCAAGTTAGGTCTGGGAGATTCATTACGGGGGGAAGTCGATAATTTGTTGGAAAATTCGTGAAAAATTAATGATACATTGTAGGGATTTTTTGAAGTTTGAAAATGATAGAGTTGATCCTAAAGCACAGTCCAGAATAGTTTTTTCATTCAAGTTAGGTCTGGGAGATTCGTTACGGGGGGAAGTCGATAATTTATTGGAAAATTCGTGAAAAATTAATGATATTTTGTAGGGATTTTTTGAAGTTTGAGAATGCACAGTCCAGAATAGATATATTTTCATTGCACGAGTTATATTTTATAAGAAAATTTCCTGAATCATTAGCTTCGTTCGCGGTAAAGGTTCAGAACTGGTTATGATTGCTTGCTTAGCGTTCAGAATTCGTTACCTGTTCGCTGTATTTCACTAGGGACCTTGATCAAAACAATCATTATGTTGCTATGTTGCCAATCAACAAATTTGTCAAAAGTTTCATTTAAAAAATAATTTCGAATTTGTAAGCAAATATGGCTCGTTTTGGGAAGAGTTCAGCGGTTGATAGTGATAAAATTATCGAAGACTTTACGCCGATTAATACAAAGAGATCTCAAACGTCGATTTGGTCTAATCTACTGTATAGAAAGC